TTGCGCTTCTATAGCACTTTCCATTTTAGGAACATAATTAAGTCCAATTCCTGAGACCAGTGGCCAGTCTGAACAGCCATGCTCGGCTTGGATATGGGAAAAGGATAGCAAGATCTGTTTAGCTGCAGTCATGCTGCTCTGCCCACATAAAGTCAATGGACTTTCTCTGAATATACACTAACTGAGAACAGAACTGGGCCCAAAATGATCACATATATCATCCAGCAAGTCAATTTGAGCTGGAAAATTAGCTTTGGTGCAGGTTGTCCAGTCAACTAATATTTGTCTTATGTGGAGTCAACAGTAGTAATGTGCTTAACTAATTAATTAACTTAGTAGATAACAAGGAGACAGAGACAGGGTCTCTGACTATAATCCAGTTCTGAACAATGTTCAACTTTGTGTGTCAGGCTCCATTTTTCACTGCTCAGGCCCACCTCTAATTAGCTAGCACTCATTGAGTGTTCAATTGTGGAAGCCCTGTGGTGTGGAATACCCACTAACTTAAAGAACTAAACCCTACTCTGTCACTCAGAAACTAGTTTGAGTGGTTGGTAACCTTTGGTATAGTGATGAGCGGTGGCAAAAAGTATTAATACTGTTCAATGGATACATTATGCCCCTCTTTGAGACTCATTTCTTCTGCATGCCCTACAAGAAAAGAACTGCACTGAACAGAATACAAAATCAACCAAACCTCTAATTAGTTTTTCCCCTCTGAGTTTCTCTGTGAGTCCCATCTTCAAAGGGTCATTCGGTGAAAGTGAAGGTGGCTATTCAAAAGAAATATAAGGAAATATTTTTTCACATGATGTACAATTAGACTGTTGAACTCACTGAGGCCAAGAGCTTGGCCGAATTCAGAAATGCTTTAGACATCTATATGGATAACATGATAATCCAGAAATATAAAAGGAACTGCTTACAAAAAGGTTATGAAGGGACAAAAACCCTCATGTGTTAGGGCTTATTGGGGGAGAGGAGGAAATTCTTTTCTGAAGCAGGTTATCCCATAACTGCCTACTGCAAAACTTTTTGCACCTTCCTCTGGAACATCCGGTCCTGGCCACCACTGGACGCAGGATACCGAACTACATGGGCCAATGCTCTGATCCGGTATGTTAGTGCCTATGTTTGGTGTTTCTGTCTACTCGAGTTGAAGCTCTTTGGCACAAGCACTGTCTTCATTGTGCATCACGTAGTGCTGAGCACATTACTGTCAGTTAACAGATATAACCCTGCCATTAGATATTATCATGAATGCCCCAATTAAAGGGACAATAACTTAAATCTCCCTGTATCCAGTAAGTATTTACCACATTTATGTAACTACATTAGGCTAGAAAACTAAATTTTAAAGTGGCTAATCCAGTTTTTAATTCTATTTCTGTATAGGATCCCCTTGTTTTTGGGTTGCCACATTGTTTGACTTTCTGCTATTATTTTAATGGATTTCTATAGTGAATTTCATTTTGCTTTGATTGTCTAGCATGAAGTGGCCTGGTGGGGGGAGTATTATCTAAATAAAGTGATCACTAATAATGATTATTTAGTGCCAAATTTAAAACTATGATAAACTTAAGAAATAAAAAAATATTTCTCTTAAGCATATGCATATACATATACACAAACAAAGCAGCACACAGCGAACTGATGGAATTTTTCCAAAATTTGATTTTGACCATTTTTTGGACAAAATTTTGAATACTGACCAAAAGGAATGAATTTATGAACATGCTTGTGAAAAACAGGCATTTTTTGCATGCTGTAATGTATATGTAAATATGCAAAAGAACTTTATCTGAATTTCTTCATTGTCCCAGAAGACAGTTGGACAATAATCAAGGTTAGGTATCACTGAGGGAATTTCCATTTGACAGCACTGGAAACCGAGTTCCTCCCTCCACCAAATACATCACTTTTTATATGATAAATAAACTTATGTTTTTTCCCCTATTATCTCTTCGCCTTCAAGGTCTCTGCCTATTGTGCACGAACCTTTCAACAGCAGTGTGCCTGTACAGATGTTAACACACTGGGTTGCTGTAAAGGGTATGATGTCAGCTTATACAAGGTCACTGGAAGAGTCTGTTTCAAACTGAATGTAACAAAAGATTGATGTTCCCATTCAAAATAAAGTAAAGGGCAAGTTGGATTTCTAAATTAACTTAAAGATATGCATTTTAAAGCTATTAAAACCCGCTATTGATGTATTTGTGCTATGCTAATGTGTTACACAATGAAGGAAACTCAAAGAAAGCCTTATGTATTGACATCAAGTTTTACCTTGTGCCAGTCTATTTTTATTTAACACCATACTGCAAAAAAAAGGGGGGGTTAGCTGTAATCATCTTTAAGTACTTTGTGGGGATGTTAAAAACATTTATTAAAAATAGTTAATACTTAGCTCTTAAATAGCACTTTCATCTCTCAGTCGATCTCACAGTGCTTAACAAAGATGGTCAGTATCAGAACCCCCAAATGTTAGAGGGGGAAACTGAGGCAGCGGTGAAATGACTTGCCTAGGGTCACCCAGCAAGCCAGTCACAGAGCCAAGAATAGAACCCCAGTCTCCTTAAATTGTTGTCAACATACTCATATAGTTATGACTAGACCTATATTATGGGACGACAGAGAATTAGGATCTTGGAATGAGAAGCAGAATATTAACCATTCTACCTTAAAGACCATCAGCATGAAATCTAATCTGGTACTGTAGGAGTTAGCTCAGAGTGACAGGTCATGCAGCTTGAGTTTGGCATTCTGATCCATCTTATTGCCCTATACTGCAACTCATCCCTGGAGTATCTGAATGCAATATCCAATTCTTGCTTTGCAACTTCACCTGCTGCATGGGGCCTGAGCAAAACAAGGTATTTGTGTTGAGAAGTAGCTTAGTCCTCAAGTAACCCCACTAGCTTTCATGGGGCTCTTCATGGAAAAAAGGTATTGTTTAACATGAGGTATGGTAATTTCTACTTCTGAGTCACACCCAGCCCTGATGGGTGTGACTCCAGTGAGCTCACTTACTCCAGGGCTGAGTTTGACCCTCTATATCCATTTCCTCATCTACAAAATAGGGGCAATATGTACCTATTCCATGGTGGTATTGTGAACATTAATTGAAATTTGTGGGATACTGCAAAGGGAGGTCTGCCGGAGTTGGCTATGGCTGTTTGAGGGGTTGAGAAAAGCTGAGAAATGCCACTTCCTAGTCAGTAGTTACACCATCTGGAAGCTGAATTAATGTGGAAAAGCCTAGGGACTTCAGTTTTATCAAGGGTTAAAGCTGTCACCCATTTCTTGATTCAAACAAATATGAAATTGGTGATACAGTTCCATGATCTCTCACCAATAGAGAGATCCAGTTTAACTTCAGTTTACCTAGCCCACTGTGACAAGGAGTGGATTACCATGTTTTAACCCACTATATTCATCTTAGAGAACTTCAGTGGAATACTGCTTCTATGGAAGTGCTCTCCTTACTGTAATCTCTTCCTAGGTTAAACCAAATAGACTTTTGTCGTTTGTGTCTGTTATCACTTGTACACAGATCCTGCTCCAAAGCCCAGTAAGGTCATTGCCCAAAGGTTTTAGATCAGGTTGCTGCATAATGTGCATAGAGATGTTTAAGAGTTTAATTTTGTTTAGATTAAAAAGAAAAACAAGTCTACATTTTTAATGTTAAAATGTAAATAAGCACTGTAGAAAAGGAAACCTCTATTGTATAGCCACACAGCACTAGATATTCCTGAAAAATAGCAACACCTTGCATCATTCCGCCAAATATCCAAACTCTTAACAATTAAGGAAGCCTCAACACTTCATTGAGGTAAGTAAGGATTATTGTCCCCATTTAAAGTTTAAGAAATTGAGGCACAAACAAGCTAACTGACTAGGGAGACTAGACAGCAAGAGTGAAAAATCAGGACAGGGAGTGTGTGTGTCTGGGGTGGGGGGTGGTGGTGATGGTGGTAATAGGAGCCAACATAAGAAAGACCCAAAAATTGGGACTGTCCCTATAAAATTGGGACATCTGGTCACCCTATAAGTGACTCACCCAAGCGAGTCTGCCCAGTGGTGAGATTATTCACTAAAGACAGTTGGTCTAACAAGTACCCAGTCATGAATGTTAACTGTGCTGCAATGCCACTTGGTCTGGCTTTCAATTAAAACGTTTTGTTTGGCATCCTCATATTTTAATAGTTTGTGATCCCTTTAACAAAGAGACCAGGTGGGTGAAGTAATACCTTTTATTGGACCCACTTCTGTTGGTGAGAGACCCAAACAGAAATGCGTACAATAAGAGATATTACTTCACCCACCTTGTCTCTCATCTCCTGGGACCAACATGGCTTCACCACCACTGCATATCCTTTAAGAGGGGCAGTTCAAGAACACAAAGCCAAACATTTTTTAAAAGGCCTCTATGTTTGTGCACCCAAAGAAGTGGGTGTGCAATCTCTTGGACCCACAAAAATGAAAATTCAAGAGGGAGAATTTATACACCACACTGCTCAATATGAGTGCCTAAAACAGCAGGCATAGACCATCTACAATAAAATGTGTGTTGTGGGCAGCTACTTAAAACCTTGAAGTATATTGACCACAGATAATTAGGTTATTCCATCTACCATTCTAGTCATACATGACAGTGAGGACTTGTACATTGGGTTTAAAATAATAAGCATGACAGGCTAAAACTCTGTAGTCTTTACTCAGCCACTACAATGGGCATGATGTTAGGGGGCCAAAGGAACTTGGCAATCATGAGTTTGCAGTTGTGGGTGCATGGACTTGGATACACTGAGTGTAGACAGACCTTGAGTACGGACTACAGATGTTGGCTCTGGCTTCCTCCCACCCCAGCCTTCCTCAAACCCAAGTCCTATTGAAATCAATAGGAACTTTGCCTTTGATTTCAGTAGGACCAGGATATAGTCCATGGCCTTTATAAGCAGTTCATAAGATAAGAGAATAAAATATGTCGCTTTCCTTACTTTCCTCGGGTAGTTTCAAAGCTGGATTTTTTGAAGTCAGCATCCTTCTTAGTGCTGGTGGCACTATAGTACGACAGCCTGGGAGATCTGTTCCCTGTTCTTTGCTGGCTTTTAACAGCCCCTTGTTGGGGAGGTATCTTTCTAGGAGTGCTCTGTGGAAAGCTCCCTGTGCTGTTGGATAGGGTTCCTTGCTTAGGATTAGCACCACCACGATTGCCGTTTCCACTGGACTGTGTTGTAGGGGTAGAGGTTCTCTTCTCCTGGGTCCCTGGCAGGGTTTTCAATCCCTGAACCTCTTCTATGGGTGCAGGGGTGATTTTCACAGCATGTTCCCATGATGTACTTGCTGCAGCTGTTTGGGTCTCAGAAGGGGTAGATATAGGGGTTGCCATCAGGTTTCTGAGGCTGTGTGTTGCAGTAGGAGGTGAAGTCAAGTCTGCATGGCTTGGTTGGGTTTCACTATCCCTAGTCATGGACCAGGGCTTGCCAGTGGTAGCAGATTCCAGGCTGCCACTCTGTAAGTGAGATAGAAGCAATAAGAAGATTATCTCCTTCATCCTGTGTTGGTTTGTAAGAGTCACACGATGTCTTGCACGTATTCCTTGTGTGAGGATCCTGCAGCCGCCTTCTCCTCCTCCTGAGGCGCGGCTCTCAGAGTGAACCTGCACGGAGAGTGCTCTGCCAGTTTTGTTTCTGCAGAAGAGGAAACAGGTTTTTAGTATTTCAAAACTGACTGAGGAAGCTCAATTTCCTGTTTCTCTGCAACCTGTGCCCCCTTACAGGCCTGGAGCCTGGAAGCCTTAGGGGAAAAGAATAAAAAGGGTTATCTGCTGAAGCTACAGGATGAAGATTAATGGCACAATGTGTACATGGAAACTTTGTCAGTGAAGTTAGTTGGGGATGGGGGGGGGGGGGTGGGAAACAAACCAGTTAAGTAATTTCCCTTTCCATGTATCCATGCACAGAACTGTCAAATGTGCCACTTAGTTGTTCATATTTGCTGTGAACTTTCTATGGAGTTCCCTAGAAAAGAACTTGGGTGGACATCAATACACTGGTACATTATGTAATGTTTCTCACTGGAGTTTGAATACTCAAGCAAACAACTGCTGCAGGAATGGAGCTGGTGGGAAGAGATTGCCTTTGCACTAGACTGAAAAAGTATAAATGAATAGAACAACTTTATCTACATGCTATGAGCCAATACCTGGCCCCTTCCTTGTAACACTACCCTGTAGGACCAGAGCACTCTGAAGTTTATGACAAGGAGTACTATAGTTATTATGGACGCATTAGCAGTAACTCCAGAGTTGAGGTTGCATTCAAATTTTGAATTTAAGACCTTTTTATATTTAACAATTGAATTTAATCTCAAAATTTAATATATGCTCTTTGTGGGTCAACTGAATTTTCTATAATAGCTTTGGTCAAAGATTTACTAACTTTACCAGAGGAAACTTTTCTGAATGAACCTTCTTTGAATTTTTTCCCTACACTTATAAAATGTCCCCCCATCCTCTAACTAAAGAGCCACAGCAACTCACACACACACACACTTCCATTGCAACTCTGACACAGGCCATTTCTGAAAACATTAATTTTAAACACAAACAGACTTATTCCCTGTCCTCATTTTAACCTGCTTTATCTCTCGGATGAAAAGCCAGTGGACATTTTGAGTTCTATTGGCTAGTTTTGTCCTCTGATGCTGCCAGCCTGACTCCCTCCATCTCCACTCAGCACAGAGACCACAAGGAGCTAAGGAAGAAAAACAGGCAGCAGTAGGTATTAAAGAGCTTTGGGAGCCATAGGGAATAGACTGAAGATCTGTCAGGCCATGAAAGGTAGAGTGGGGCAGTCAGTGACTAATGGGGCTACGTTAAAGGTTCCTGCCTATGTATCAGGCTGATGGAGGGAATCAAGTCTTTATGTGGTTCATACAGACTCATCTCCCCTTAGCACTGAAGATGTCTTGACTTCACAGTACAGCAGGCAACAGTGAACTAAGGAACCCAGGGGGGAGTTGACAGCATGCTCTACTCAGCACTAGACTGGCACTTCCTCCTGGTCACTGTGGGGAATAGCTCACTAGGTCAACACCCTTTCCCATAGTTGCTCACAAACCCGCACCTCTCTCTCTCACGCCACAAGCTGCTACTGCCTCTTTGTGACTCAGCCCTCCAGCCAGGTCACCGGATGCATTTTGCCCTCCTGGGGGTTGGAAAGTCTGTCTTTACCAGCAGCCCTAGGGAGTCTTCCCACTCCCTGCTTCACAGTGCCACTCTCTCAGCAGCTGGCAGGGAAACCTGGGCCCACCCTCTCCTCCAGGTTCCAGCTCAGGGACCCGTAAGTTAACAGTCAAGGTCTGGTCTTTTCTAGAAGATTACTACCTTCCCCTGAGCCCTGGCTTGCCTCCCCTAGACTCCAAGTTTGTCAGCTCAAACACACCTCCCTTCTCCAAGGCAGTAACTACAGAGTTTCCTACCAGCCCCCTTTTGCTTCCAATCTCCTGTCTTTATAGTCCCAGCCCAGCTTGTTCCTCCTCAGGTGGGCTCCTTCATTCAGTCAGGGGATTACTTGGCCACCTGATTCCCCTCAGCTGTGGCCTGTTGGGTTATGTAAAGGTTCAGACTCACCCCTACAGTGCCTCCTGCTGGTAGTCATTGGGAATTAGCTCATCCAGCCCCAGAGCATCCTCTGCAGGCCGGTGATCCACCTCACTGCCAGCCCCCGTGTCCCTCCCAGGACCCAGTGCCCCTTTCTCTGGGGTGCTGGCCCCCTGGCAATACCCCCACACTCTCAGGTTTTGGGTCTTCCCACCCAGGGGAATGCCCCCCACCCTCTAACCCCACCTCACCTCAGTTTGGGCTACTGCCAGTCCCCACTTAGCCCCTTATATCAGGGGCTAACTGCAGTGTATATGCCACTCATCACCAGCAAGGGGGTTTGGACCTGCTGCCTCCGCCTACCCATGGGCTGCCCCTCTGCAATCCTGCACCTATTTGGCCTGTAGTCAGGCCTGCAGCCTGAGGCTTTCCAGGCTGGAGATCCCAGCTCCTCTGGCCCTTCTCCAGCCCTGCTCCAATCTAGGTGTCCTGCTCAGCACCTTGCAGCCAGGACCTTCTCCCTCCCCAGGCAGAGGGGGACTGATTGGGCTCCTGGCTCACAGCCTCTTATAGGGGCCAGCTGGGCCTGACTGAGCTGGCCACAGCTGCTGCTGCTCCCTTAATCCGGCTGGGCTTTTCCCCACAGCCCCAGCCCTCTCCTCGGGCTGGGCTCAGCCCTCTCAGGGCCAAAGCGGGTAACCACCCCACGACAGGTTAATTAGCTCCCTTCTCAGTCTCCATCAACCCTTTCCAGGCAAGGGTGGGGTAAACACCCCATCACAGGAAGGAATGAAACAGAGAAAGTGTGTGTGAGAGAAAGTGTGTGTGTGTGTGTGTGAGAGAAAGAGAGAGAGAGAGAGAGTGTGTGTGTTTGCGGGCAGGGGTGGCCCGTCCATATAGGCAAACTAGGCGGTTGCCTAGATGCCAAGTTAAATGGAGTTCCAAATTTGAGGAAAAAATAAAATGAAAAAATGAAAAAAAATACAAATAAAATAATGAAGATGTCATAATTTCAATTCCTGTGTGTGTACGGTGGGAATATGAATTATAATTCATTTCTCTACCTTTCTGAGAATTTATTAATATGTCAAATCTTTTATTTACTGCAAACCTAAATAATATTTTAGTAATTTTGTTTTTCAATTTGTGACGTAGAGTCAAGATGACCCACTTCGCAATTTTGATAAGCAATAACTCAGCCACAATGAAACACATCTGCCAGTGGCAAGAGCTTCAATGGTAGTGACACCTAACTCGAATATACGTCAAGGTCGCTTAGCCAGAAATTCATGTAGAGCGGAGATATCGCATGTTGATACGTCAAACGCTCGTTTTAATACACGTCAGGGTAGATGGTTAAGAACTGAGCGAATACTGTGGAAAAATGTGTTTCTTGGTGTCAAAGAATAAAGAATAACGTCTTTCAGCAGAATAAATCCAAAATGTGAGTATCTTTAAGCGTTATTAAACCTTAGCGTTATTATCGGGCTGTATAATTATGAACTTTTCTTTGTTATAACTGGTTCACAAGTAATAAATAAGGTCCATAAAAGAAAAGTAACAGCTTTAATGCTTAATAGACTATGAAAGTGATGATGTCACACTCCAAGAGGGTATCCATGAGGAAGGAGATTATTTTCCAAACAGCTGGCGTTGGGTTATAACATTGAAAAAGGTCATTTTATTTCCATGTAAATGCTGTAACTAACTGTTTTAATAGATAAGTGAGTGTATGTTACTAATCATTGAACATTTTACCAGTGAAAATACATGTTGGAATGGCTGCAATGTGGTTTAAATTGCCAACCATGTGGTGTGTCAGCCATCCTTAACGCTATAATGCTTGCAGTCGAGAGCCCTGTACATAACAATATTCAAATGCCCCATGGCAGAAAGGGGAAAAAGAAAACCCTCAGGAGCTGAGTATCATAAACAAAAGGCTGAGAAGGAGAAGGACCAAGCAAAAAAGCAGGGATCCTTCCTGAAATATCTTCTCTTTAATCCAAATAAATAATGAAGCAGTTCACAGCATCCAGATGAAGGAATTTTACTTGGAGAGGAGGTTAGCTCACATCCACATGGAAGCAGTTTGGAACATCAAGATGAAGGTATATTACTTTGAGATGAGGGTAGCTCACATCCGCAAAAAAGCAGTTTGGAAACTCAAGATGATGGAAACTTACTTCTAGATGAAGGCAGCTCACAGCTTCAGACCTATATGGAAATGGAGAAAATTTATTCACCTTCAGAGACTGTCATAAATGTAAAGGGAAGGGTAAACACCTTGAAAATCCCTTCTGGCCAGAGGAAAAACCCTTTCACCTGTAAAGGGTTAAGAAGCTAGGATAACCTCGCTGGCACCTGACCACAATGACCAATGAGGAGACAAGATACTTTCAAAGCTGGAGGGGGGAGAAACAAAGGGTCTGGGTCTGTCTGTGTGATGCTTTTGCCGGGGACAGAACAGGAATGGAGTCTTAGAACTTAGTAAATAATCTAGTGTTAGATTATGATTTCTTTAAATGGCTGAGAAAATAAGCTGTGCTGAATGGAATGGATATTCCTATTTTTGTGTCTTTTTGTAACTTAAGGTTTTGCCGAGAGGGATTCTCTAGGTTTTGAATCTAATTACCCTGTAAGGTATTTACCATCCTGATTTTACACAGGTGATTCTTTTTACTTTTTCTTCTATTAAAATTCTTCTTTTAAGAAACTAAATGCTTTTTTCATTGTTCTTAAGATCCAAGGGTTTGGGTCTGTGATCACCGATGCAAATTGGTGAGGATTTTTATCAAACTTTCCCCAGAAAAAAGGGGGTAAGATTTGAGAGGATTTTGGGGGGAAAGACGTTTCCAAACAAACTCTTTCCTAATCATAAAAATACCAGTGTTAGACGTGTGGTGGTGGCAGCGAAAGTCCAAGGGCAAAGGGTAAAATAGTTTGTACCTTGGGGAAGTTTTAACCTAAGCTGGTAAAAGTAAGCTTAGGAGGTTTTCATGCAGGTCCCCACATCTGTACCCTAGCATTCAGAGTGGGGAAGGAACCTT